GAAATAAGTTGACAAAGAATAACAAAGGTGATCTAACAGACAAACTAAAAATAATATAAATATTAAATTTGGGGGAGAAAAAAACAGTTTAAGGAGCTACATTCTCATTTTCAATCAGAAGTTAAGAGTCGATAAATCAAAAAATTGTGGTAAAAGCATACTAGGGTTAAGGAAGTAACAATCTAAGAATTAAATACAGAAACAGTTAAAATAAAACCTAAAAGGCTCCCTCTGTGAGCCTTGAGGAGGTGAAGGAAACCATTGTTTTTCAACAAAAGTCCTTCTGTACTATTGGAGTTGTTACTGAGTGCAAAGATCACTTTGACAAAAATAATTTTCTATGACACTTTTCAGAAAAGGGAAAACACCAAAATTATTACTAAAAACTGGGAGTGGCAAGCAAATGTTATCGCTGAAATTATATTTAATAGTGGGGATAACAGGCTCCCGGGTGGTTCAGTCGGTTAAGCGTCTGCCTTCAGCTCAGGTCATGATCCCAGGGTCGGGGGATCGAGTCCTGCATCGGACTCCCTACTCAGCGGGTAGTCTGATTCTCCGTCTCCCCCTGCCCCTCTGCCTGCTTGTGCTTTCTTGCTCTCTCTGTCAAATAAATAAATAAAATCTTCAAAAAAAAAAAAATAAAGGAATGGGAATAAAGTATTTTTTCTTATAGAACGTTACTCATATAAAATTTTTCTGTAAGAATATAAAGTCCTACTGAAGCCAACTGTTTTGTTCTTTATAATTCTGTTTTCTGGTTTATGTGTAATAAATATGTATCCCATTTATACCCAGAATTTCTTTTTTAATTTTTAATGTGATCAGTGGTCAAAATCAGTGTGCCAGGTGGCTAAGAGCCCAACACCTACATGCCCCCAGCCTGATTTATGAGCTTTAAAGAGCAGCAGGAACAGGGCAGTAATTTTCAGGGGCCGTGTGTTTTCACATCAACCCTCTCCACTTGTGTATGCTACCCTAAAGAAACACTGCAATGAAAGGTGTGACCGCTCAGAAAAGGTCCCCTTTAAGAGGTAGCAGAAAGTCATTACATCATATACATAGGAACAATCTTACCTAAGAAAATCACAAAAAGCTTTTTAAAGCTTCTTAATGGCCCAGCTTTGTTTCCCATAAAAGTCATTGTTCAGCTGGGGAAGTGACAGGGGGGATAAAGGTAGGAGTGAGGAAAATGGAAAAGTGCTCTGTAAGTAGTTGTCAACAGACAAGAGGTCCAGTCCAGGGTCTACCATTAAATAACCACATGACTTTCCCAAAGTCACACAGTCACCCTTCCCTGGCCTTGGGTTTTCTAGCCAAAAAAAAAAAAAACAAAACAAAAAAATCAAACCTGACCCTGGTCCAATCTGAAATCCTTTTAATTTCTCATTTATAAAAGCCTTGAGACAGAATCAATGATAGGATGGATGCCACTGTTAGCCCCATTTCACAGATGATGGAGCAAAATAGATTTTATGACAATCAATTCAGGGTCAGTTGCCACTATTTTTCAAGCTTCTATTTAATCCATCAAAATACGTTGCCTTTGGTGGCTATGCAACGAAGTATGACATACAACATTTAACTTACTCCAACTTTAAACAACGCCCCCCAAAAACCTCAGACAACTCCTGGCAGATTGCTTGTCCTGAAAGACAATAGTCACAATGACTTAAACTTGGCCAGAAAGTTTCCAGGGACCGCATCAAATCAGGCTAGCCTACTACCTACCCATTTTTTCAGCTGTGGTCTTCACTGACTACCCAAAGTGAAAGAAGATGTACTCTGCTTTGGGCTGCAGGGTGGTTGTAGTTGGGGGGATGGACAAATGAATCTGAGCAACTTTCTCTAAACCCAAAGCTAACTTCCATTTTTGTCCTAGTTTCAATCATTCCATCATTATGCACTTGTGCATAGAAGGGAATTTTTTTGCTTTTGGGGGGGGTCCTTTTTTTCCTAGCTTTCCTCTAATATTAGGCAAGCCTCTTATTTCATATTTTTAATAACCACAGTTATACTGATCATATATCATATACTTGTGCAAGTGTATATTCATAAGCACAGTTTAAGTCATTTGGGACCAAAAAAGATAACCCTAAATTACTGTAAATTATTGGACCATTTTTCTATTTGCATTTATTACTAAGTCCATTTCTAGAAAAGTCACAATAAATACTCAAAACCGCACTTACCTAAGTAACCTTAATACAAGATCATTTTGGAGCTTTATGTACCATAGAAACTAATGTCAGCCTTCAGAACAGTATCATCACATTTAGAAAAATGTCATGTTATTACATCACATACTTGAATTCCACCAGCCATTAGGAAGTCAAAGCATCGAGTACATGTCCACACTAACACTCAAAGCCTGGGGGAAGGCCAGTTGTGGAATGACCATCAAGTCTGTTTCAGGACAAGTGCTTCTCAGCATCACACCAACCCCAGAAACAAAATAAAGAACTCCTCCTTGCACAAGATGTCAACAGCATTGGGATGGGGAAGCAATAATTGGTCACCAGTATGAGTCAAAGAGTTGACTGTAGCAAACCTCATTCATTACTGTGTATTTGTTGTAAGATCCAACTGACAGCAATCAAATACTAGTGCCAAAGAAAGGTTTGATTATACTTTTAAAAGAGCACATAACGTCCTAGCATAAGTTTTAAACTAAGGCTTCTCCATCAAAGCAATTTCGGCTTTAAAATAAAGTCTACGGCAGGTTCTAAGAAGCGAAGTTTCTTTCCATGGCAGTGAATGGCCAGTCAGTGCAGGCAATCCGGAACCAAGTGGACCAGCTGCTGGCACAACCTCCAGCCAGGCCATCAATAGCCTGACCCCCCTTGACCTCACTGGTTATATTTCAAGTTCCAGCGCGTTTCTCCTCTGGAACATAATTATCTTAGGGTACCACAACTGAAACAATCGTCTTTATGTCTGTGAATGTATTTTCCCTTACAGTCTAATTGTAAAAATCATCACATCAGGAAAGCCCTAACAATGTGAAAGGGAAGAGTAACAACAAAACAGGCTCCTGATCCGTTGGTATTTTAGGTTACTAACTGCGCCATAATATAACTCCTGACCCAATTTCCGCACAATTGATTTTCCAGCCCACAACTACTTCACCACGGAGTTGCTAATTACATCACCGTGCGGTGTGGTCATTACATCACTCAGCTGGGAGCAGAAAGGCCTACCAGGCGGTGTTCACTTTTCTAGCTTGCTTTTCCTAAGAATGGAGAGACTGTAGACCACCTACACTACCAAAAGTCCCTCTCCTTCCCAAGCCTCAAAAATGTTCTAGAATTTATCTCCATGTCACATCCCAATGGACCAGGCTCTGGGACATCTAAGTTGGAGTGGACAGGTAAGGGCGTAAGGGTTTGTGCCCAGAAGTCACTATTCCAGATTCAGGGCAAAGTCACCTATGTGTTTCATGAGAATCACCCCAAAACTACTTTTTTTTTTCCCTCCTACTTCTACGAGTTTCCAGGTCCCCAATCTCTTGGAAATTCCAGGACCCTGGAAGAACCTCACCAGATGCTCTTCTTCTGATCCTTTACCATTCCAACACCCAGAGACACACTCTCTACTTCCATCTTCCCAGATCTTTCGGAAACAAACGTGGAAGGACCCACACCGCGCGCGCGCACCCCAACAAGCATGCGCACCCTGGGCACCGTGACTGTGCCCCCTGACTTCGGGCTGACTTACTTGAGGAAGTACCTCTGGCCAGTGGCCGTGAAGGTCATCTCCCAGCCCGGGGGCAGCGGCAGCTCGTCGGTCACATCGTAAGACTGCTGGCGGAGGTGCGCATGCTGCTGCGCTGGACTGCCTGCAGCACCCGCGCCGGTGCCCAGCTGCAGGGACGCGGGCGACGAGTGCGAGCGGACGTGCTGGGCGCCGCTGGCCAGCCGGGGCCCGGGGTGGCCGCCGGACGAGTCGGTGCTCGACTGGCGCGAGTGAGAGCCAGAGTCAGGCTCCTTGAAGAACGACTCGGGCAGGATCTTCTTCCGCCACGAGCTGGGCTTGGGGTTCATGACCGAGTTGAAGAGGGCTTCGAGGTCCGTGTCTAGGTCCTGCGTGACGTGGATCACTTGCTGCCCGGGTGGCGGGAGCGGGGGGGGCACCGAGGCCGGATTCATCTTCTGCAAAGAGAAAGGTCAGATCAGCCTTTTATTTAAAGTCGCAGGAAGGGGTCCGGGGGCAGAACAGAAACAAAAGAAAAAGAGGCGACAGATAGGTGTCCGCCTCGGGATCCCAGACACGCAGCGGTAAGGCCAACCGGATGGGGGAGGGGTCCCTCCTGGCCTGGAGAATTATGCAACTTTCTTGAAACAAGTAAGTTGCCGGGAGGAGGACGACAAGGAAGGGCGGGGGGGGGGGGGGAGTAACTAAACTCGGGAGGTGGCTGAACTGCTGCTGGCGAAGGACAGGTCGCAACTTTCCCGGGCAGGCAGCCCCCCCCCCCAAAGTCTCAACCCAAGCCAGCTCCACGACATCGCGACTCCGGAAGCCCGAGGAGCCCAGGCGCCCTGGGGTGGAACGGGGTGAGCGGGCGCGCTCCAGCGGGCTCTACCTGGGCGCGCAGCGAAGCCGAGTCTGGGCGTGCGGCGGCCGCCGTCCCGCCCGAACTCGCCGTCGGGCCTCAGTCGCTCGGTGCGTCCCGAGCTCGCAGGGCTGTAGCCGGGGCCCGGCTGGCAAATCCCGACGTGGTGCCTGGCAGCCGAGGGGCTTCGGCTCTCACATCCCCCGAACTGGCCTCAGGCGTTCGTGCTCCGCGAGAAGGAGGCGGAGGAGAAGCAGACAGCGCGGCCGCCGCGGCTCCCGGACTGTCCCATAAACAAAGTTTGGAGCGAACTCCCACTCCCAGAAAAGAGGCGGGCCCCAAAGTTGAGCTGTTGAATTATGCATAACCTTCAAGTCCTGAGCCTGCCTGCCCCCGCTCGTCCCTCCCCTTCCTTCTCCTCCTCCTTCTCCTCCCCCACCTCGGCTCTAGGGAGCCCCGGGCGTGATAGGTACTTTGCTGGGTAAGCGGAGACGGGTGCCCCCCATCCACTCCTCCCGGTCGTGCGGGCCTTTCCCGCGGAGCCCTGGACCTGCATTCCTTTGAGTTTACCGCGGACTTAGGGCGGGATCAAAGGGAAAGTGGCCTGCGCCTGTTTAATCAAGGGCTTGTGGACCGAAACTAAGGCTGGGGGCGGCGGAGGGCACGCGGGTGAGCGGCGCAGGCGGAGGAAGGGCCGGTCCTGGCTGCCGCGCCCTCCCTTCGTGCTTGGTGCCGAGGCCCGGAGCGCCCAGAGCGCCGCGCCGATCCGAGGTTCTGCCTGAGGGCGGGCTCGGGTCCGCCCTGGCGCAGGGAGACAGGCCAGCCTTTCCACGGGAGGCTGCTTAGCGCTTGTGACCATATTTGGTCTGGCGAGGAGGCATCTTGGCTGTTTGGCTTGCAGTTGTCTGCTAGAGCGCAGACGGTGCCCAGAAAGTGCCTCTGTCGCTAGAGCTGCGGCTTCGCCAGTGGGTGCGTTGTAAACAAACAACCTTGAAACCATCCATCAGTCTTTAGTCTCCTTGCGTGACTCGGGTCACTAGAACTTGAGAGGAAACCTGGTCAAAGCTGGGTACTGGAAAGGGAGAGCAATCGCGCCCCCCTCCCCCGCGACATCCGCGCGGGTTGTGGGAGGATTGGAATGTCCCTGACGCCCTCCAGAGAGCCTGGAGCCGGCATGGAACCAGAGCAGGTGGCTGGGAGTAGAGAGGGTGCACCAGTGACCCGGAAAAAACCACCCACCCTCCCACCGGCTGGATCTAGGAGAGGGGTGGAGACCCCCAGCCCCTAGATCTAGCTTGGCAAGACAGCTGCGGGAAGTGGGAGGCAGCCTTGGCCTTCGGAGCAGCTCAATTCCTTTTTCCCTTGTCCCCTCTCCGCTGGAGGGAAAGGGAAAGCGGCTGCGAGGTAAGTCACGTTTCACAAAGCCCCTACCCCATGCCATTTGATTCAAACAGAAGTTTTTCGAAATAAGTCAAATGAGGCAATATATGTACAGACAGTCGGGACTTAACAGTGGTTGGACTTAACGATTTTTCCACTTCAGGATGGTGCAAAAGGGATATACATTCAAACTTTACTTGGAATTTTGAATTTTGACCTTTCCCCAGGCTAGTGACACGCCGTGCCATGTTCTCTTGATGCTGGGCCTGGGCGGCGGCAGCCACAGCTCCGGGTCAGCCCTGCCATCAGAAGGGTAAACAGCTTACACTTACAGCTATTCTGTAACCATATACAATTGCCTTTCACTTTCAGCAGTAGCCAATAAATTACTTGTGATATTCAACACTTTATTATAAAATAGGCTTTATGTTAGATGATTTTGCCCAACTGTAGGATAATGTAAGTGTTCTGAGCACATTTAAGATAGGCTAGGCTAAACTGTGATGTTCGTTCGGTATTAAATGCATTTTCAACTTACGGTGTTTTCAATTTACAGTGGATTTATCAGGACCTCATCCTACCTAAATCGGGAAAGATCTGTAAAACACTTTGAACAGCACCCAGCCCATCCACATACCTCTCTGTTAAATAAAATAGAATTGTATTAAGTGCAAGTATGCACCTCACTATTTTTATAAGGGTGAAATAAAGTCAAAATCTGGAGTTACTTTGAAGGAGAAAAGTTTACAGTAAAAGACAAGACCACCCCATAGTTTTGCCTTGGAAAAGGCCAGGGAGTATTTAGGGGCCACTCCCTGAATGGCTACTCCCTGTCATGCCCACAATAGAACAGAGCCCACCAAAATGAGGCACCTGTCAGCCCATTATCTATACTTGAGGGTGTGCTCTGATTCCAGACTCCCCACAGAGGAAAAATCAGGGCTGCCTTAGAGAAAGACAGCCACATGGGTCACCTTCAAAGATAAGCAGAGCATAAGCTCCTCTCCAGAGACTCTGGAACCCCAGATTTCCCATGCAGCAAAACCCTCTGCCCATAGGACCAGCAGAAGGAAGGGGGAAGCGACACGTCACTCCACTGGAAATAGTATCAGCAAGCTATCGTCAAAAGCCACCACAGTTATGACAATGGGGAAATTAGCTATGGAACTAGAGGAAGTAACAGGACCAAGTGATTACTAATCAGAAGCTGCAAGGCTAACTTGATGATTAAAGGATGGAAACTTGAGTCCAGCCCTACTCCAGGAAGCTCCTCACCCAAGAAGGAAGGGCCCACTTTGTAAGGAGTATCTGGCAGCTACCAGAGAAGAAGAAAATGCTGAGGGAGCCATGAGAATCAGCCAGTGAGAATCAGGATTGGGATCGGATGGGCAAGGATGCTGTCTTCATTCCTTGCCAAGCTTCAAGAAACAGATGGTGAAAGACAGAGAAGTTGATGCCTGAAAAGGAAATTGCCCAGATCACAGGATAACTCAAAGGGAAAATCCCCAGTTCCCAAATAGCCTGTGTGATGTGATGGTGGATGGTTGAAGACATTTGCTCCGTCCTTCGAAAACAGCAGCTTCAGATGCCATAACGTTTACAGCTGCCTTGTATGTGTCACGTACTACCCACGTGAGGCCGCACGGTGTAGTGACTAAATGTATAAGCTTTGGAGCAAAATACCTGAGCTCTCTGTTCCCCAGTTCCTCCTTTGTAAATTAGGTGCAATAACAGTACCCTTTTCACAGGGTTCTAGGTTAAAACACTACAAATTTTATCCATTGACCCATGATAGAACACAAGTTTTGAAGTGCCTAGCTCTACTCTTTTCATTGGGCAAGTAACTTAGCTTCCCTAAGTCACAGATTATTCATTACAAGTTGGTGATAATATTGTGGTAGTCTGTGACATTGCTGCTTTTCAGGGGACCACCCTCCCTTATGGAGTCCCTTCCAATGTAAATCTGGACTAGGCCGGTGACTTGCCTTAACCAGGAAAATACAGCACTGAATATGTGCTAGCTCCCCCAACCCCACCCCACCCCCACCTTAACCCCTAAGAAGGTGTGGAAGTTTCTATTTTTGTACTTTTGGAACACCTAAGTCCCTAGATAAGTCCAACTACCCCGCTGGAGAAACCACATGGAGAGGGAGAGGCCCTGAGATATGTGGAGAGAGGGAGAAGTCCAGTCACCCCACTTCTGAGCTGAGCCCAGCCCCTAGCGGCCCATCAGCTGACTGCAAACACATTAGTGACTACCATCTAGATGAATAAAAGAACCACAGAGCCTAGCCCAGCCCAGATTGCAGAACTGTAAGCAAATAAAATGGCTATTGGGTTAAGCCACTAAATTTTGGCATTTTTTTTTTAAATGCAGAATGAACATTCTAAGAATTAAAAAAGAAAATGCAAGGGCGCCTGGGTGGCTCAGTTGGTTAAGCGACTGCCTTCGGCTCAGGTCATGATCCTGGAGTCCCAGGATCGAGTCCCGCATCGGGCTCCCTGCTCAGCGGGGAGTCTGCTTCTCCCTCTGACCCTCCCCTCTCTCATGTGCTCTCTCTCTCTTTCTCATTCTATCTCAAATAAATAAATAAAATCTTAAAAAGAAAGAAAGAAAGAAAGAAAGAAAGAAAGAAAGAAAGAAAGAAAGAAAGAAAGAAAGAAAGAAAATGCAAATAAAGTTCTTAACACAAATTCTGTTACATACTAAGGCACTCAAATGACAGTGATTTAAGCCTCATGGAGACCCAAAGAATAGATAATATATTTTATATCCCCATTTTACAGATAAGGAATCTGGCCCAGTGAACTCCAGAGCATTTTGTCTTAAGTACATACAACGAATTCATGAAAAAACCCTCCGATTCAGCCTAGGATTTATCCTAGATCAGAGTGCTCTTTCTATTCTCCCATCCTGTGCGAGTCACCATTTGCTCCCTGGTATTGTCATTTTAAATCAGTGTGCTACCTCCTGCATGCCTATCTCATAGAGAAACTCCACAGTTTTTATAAGATAATCAATTGAGAGTAAGTAAATTTTTCTCCACTTGCAAAGACTTTCCACTAGAAGTTGATTCCTGCTTCCTAATCTTCCCCTCAGCACACTTCCTACTGAAAGCTTCCCTGAGCCATCCATCCCTCCTCCCTCTCTGTCTCCATCCAAGCAATAGCAAGTGATTCTTTATCCTGGTGTCCCTCAAAACCATCCTTCCCTTCCTGCTCCCACAACAAGACCTTATCTCAAAATGCTTGCAGTGGCCTCCTACCTGGTTTCTCTGCCTCCAGTCTCTCCTTTCTGGCCTCCTATTTTCATGGTGTCATTCCCTGGCTCACGAGATTTTAACAACGGCCCACATGAATAAAGGTCAGAGCTATCAATCTAGCACCCAAGGACTTGCAACAAACTGCCATCTTCATTGCTTTCTGACCTTGATTCTTACACAAATATGTCTTCATCCACTCCAGCCAGGCTCTGACCCAAGCATATTTAGCCTATTCCTTCACTACATATATCTCTATTTGAACCCTGCTCAAAATTGCCCTCCATATTCCATTGTCAAGCCTCCATTAGTCTCTCTCCCCTAAATTAATATTATTCATGTCTTTTTGTTTTCTTGTCTGTTTTTTGACACATAATCATATAAAACACTGTCTTATATTCTAACTTTTACCTCAGTTATCTCTTGCCTCCTGGGGCTAGAAGAATCCTACATGTCTTTATGGAAATGCTCCTTTGAAGCCCATAATTCCTTATTGAGGCCATGATGATCCTTACATGATTTTGCCCATTCTTCTTTTAGCACCCACTGGCATACTCCTAACAGTTTGTAAGGTAGCCTCTTACCATTCGTTACAGTTTTGGGACTTCATATGGAATCAGCTCCCTAAGAGAATTGCAAGCTCTTTGAGGACAGGTCTAAGAGGGCTTCGTTTTCTTCTTGTTTTTCCCCACACCTAACAAGGTGTTCCCTACACAGCTGGGTTCAGTACCGGTGGTCACCCAGCCCAATGGCTGTTGTCTTGACTTTGTCATCTGCCATATTTGCCTCAGGAAAGCCACAAGCTGCTTTCTTCAGCCCTACCCCTCTGAATTGCTGACTTGGTGTGGGTGACTGGTTCCTGCTGAGACGAATGGTCAGAAACTTGGTGGGGTGGGTAAGTTGTTAGAGGATCCAGCCCAGAAGCCCTTGAGGCAGAACCGGCCTGGGCTTGCTGAACTAGTCTGGAGAAAATTCTCAGAGCAGGATCACCATTAGCAACTGAAAAGGAACTAAACAGACCAGGACCTTGAACAGATAAGGGTTTGAATAATAAAGAGTCCAGAAAACTGTTGCATAAGATTAATCTTTATTTCACTAGGAGGATCAGCGTTGACCAGTTCCTTGACAAATCAAATGTGACACTTGTGTATTCCTAATTTACTGCATCCCAAATGCCTAGCAAAATGTCCAGCGCACAGCAAGTTTACAAATACTTAAATCACAATGAGTTGGTCCTGCCACACATTTTTGCACAATATTATTCTTTGCAGGTACAGGTCTCATTGTCAGGCTTCACTCTAGTGTTCCTAATAAATACATCACTGGCATGATCATAAGGAAGACAATTTTGATAATGATGATGATGGACGGGACTGTTCTGCCTTATGTTATCTCTTGCTTCAGCAATGCAGTTGGACTAGAGGAAAGGGGGATTTCTGAGATTTAGTCTTTACTTGAGTACTGTGTGCAAGTGGTCTGTCCTCTAGTATTTTTGCTTTTTTTTTTTTATACTGGGGAAGATATTTTTAAATGGAAAAAATTAATTAATACATATTTTCTTTTTTTTTTTTTAAAGATTTTATTTATTTGAGACAGAGAGAATGAGAGAGAGAGAGCACATGAGAGGGGGGAGGGTCAGAGGGAGAAGCAGACTCCCTGCCGAGCAGGGAGCCCGATGCGGGACTCGATCCAGGGACTCCAGGATCATGACCTGAGCCGAAGGCAGTCGCTTAACCAACTGAGCCACCCAGGCGCCCAATACAT